AGCCTGCTTCTCCCTCTCCCACTCCCCCTGCTTGTGTTCCCTCTCTCGCTGTGTCTCTCTCTGTCAAATAAATAAATAAAAATCTTTAAATAAATAAATAAATATGAAAACTCTATGAGAGAACACTCTGGAGGAATGATTCAGACTTACTCTGTGGTCTGAATATTTGATTGATGAATCAAAGGGCTTTGAATCAATGGACTTAACTGACTGTACATTTAAGATTTGCCTAGACAGGGCTTGATGAAATCAGTGCATCCAGTTGCATAAGTAATCCCTTTCCAAAAGGGAAGGAAGGAAGGAAAAGAAGAAATTCACATATGCTACACCATGTTTTGTATTAGGTGATTGACATATATTCAAACAACTCCGAGGGGTATTATTCCCATCTTGTGGATTAAATGACCAAAGCCCAGGAGAAAGGGTTCTGTAATTTGTCTAAAGGTAAATCAATAAAAAGTGGCAAAGCTGGGGTCCAAGTTGCTGTTCACTGTTTCCTAAGCCCACACCTTTGGACCAGCATCTGTCACAATCATTTGTGGGACCGCATCTGCCCAACATAGCCCGGATACTTTGCCATTTGTAGTTGTGGTTTGCCTGCTTTTTACTGATTTCTGAACTTAGCTCTATTATTTCTTTCTTCTCATTTGGGGCTTAATTTGCACCTCATTTTTCATTTGTCGACATGGTGACATAGAGAATTAATTTCAGTTAACCTCTCTTGTAGCACATGCATTTTAAACTCTATAAAGTTCCCTCTAATCATGACTTGAGTTGTTTCCAACAAATACGGGTATGCCATATTTTCATTACTATTCAGTTCAAACATTAAAAAAAATCTTCCCTTGTGATTTCTCCTTTCTTCTATGGATTATTTTTTCTTCTTAATTTCCAAATCTTTGGAGGATTTTCTAGTTGTTTTTTGTTGTTGTTGCTGTTACTGATATCCAGTTAAGTTCCATTCTGGTCCAAGATTATACACTGTATCATTTCCGTCCTATGAAATTTGTAGTAACTTGCTTCAGGACCAGAATGTGGTGTGTCTTTGATGAATGTTCCAAGTGCGTCTGAAACAAATACGCATTCTGCAGGTTTTGGTTTTATCATTCTGTAAATATCAATTATGTGAAGTTAGCTAATGGTGTTATTCAGATCATCTATATTTTAACCAAGCTTTTGTGTGTTTTCTTTATCTGTTACCAAGAGATGTTAACATCTCCAACTACGATGGTAATTTATCTCAGTATCCTTTAGTTCCGTCAATCCTTGCTTTATATATGCCGAGGTTATCTTATGGGCATACACAAACTGATGCCTGTTAAATTGATACTTTATCATTATAAAATTTCTCTCTTTATCTATCATACTTCTTTCCTGAGTGCCTACTTTCTCTGATAGTGGATAGACATATCAGTTTTCTTTTGTTTGAGACTGACAGGCTTTCTCTCTCTCTCTTTTTTTTTACATCTTTTTACTTTTAGCATTTCTTTGTAAATCAAATACACATAAAATGTATTTCACATAGATGGCATATATTTGGATCTTTTTTGAAATCCAGTCTGTATAGTGTGTAACCATTTGCATTTCATGAATTATGGACGGAGGTGGTGTGAAGCCTCTCATCTTGCTACCTGTTTTTTGGTTGGTTTATGTGTTCTTCGGTCCTGTTATTCCTCCCTTCCTTTTGGATTCATGCAGTATTTTTCTTTTCATTATTTAATCTGCTTTGTCTTCTTTTGTGTTAGATCTTTTTGTATCCTTAGTTAGTAGTTCTAGAGATTATGTATGTATGTCTGACTGCAATGAGACAAACGTACATCTCAGCACATTCATAACTTCACAGCATGGGAGGACCTTGCAACAGTTCATTTCATTTGTCCCTCCTACCTCAGGTTGTGCTGTTATTTTATGTATTTCTCTCTTGCAGATGTGCTAAAACTCACAATAGATCACATTATTATTGCTTTAAATAACCCACAGTCTTTTACGTTTACTCAAATATTTGTATTTTCTTGTGCTCTTCATTTGTTCCTGTAGTTGCCTGCTTTCATCTGGGATAATTTTTCATGAGTCTGAAAACTTTTCTTTGGGATTTCTTGCAGTGTGGATTTGCCGGATGGGGGAGGGGCACGGGGACTTCAGTCCTGTGTTTGTTGTACATCGTTTCCTCTATGGGGGTTTTCTCTCCTAAGTACTATGAGACTGTAGGAGAAACCGGTCAGCCTTCGCAGCCTCCTCAGCAGTCATCCTGTAAGCCCGTGTGGCTGTCAGACTTTCCACTGGGCTCTCTTTTTTTCTATGAGATTCCCTCTACGCTGTACAAACCAAAATGGATTTCTCCCAAGAATAAGATGGCTGGCTATCTCAGCTTCCCCCCGGAAGGGCTTTTTCCTGACGGCGTTTTCAGCTCAACTGTTTCTCTTTGTTTTCTCTGCGTTTGGGGGTCTGTAATTTTTAGCTAATTTCATTTTTGTGTGTGACTTATCCATTTTGTTTTTCTAGAAGTTGCCGTGGGAGTGTTGGTCTGACAGTCCCTCCTAAATTGTATGTTGAAAAGAAAGTCCACTGGCCACTCTGAGTTTTAATAATTGATTTAAACATAAACATTTGAAGACAAACCAATTCATATTTTGGTGATGACTTATAATTGCTACCTAATTTCTCTGCTTTATACATTTTTTTAAAATTTAAAAATAAGGCATATCTGTTTTGTTTCTGGAACGTAGCACTATATTATCTTTATATATTAGGTTAACATATAGTGATTATATTCATTTTAAACCTTTGGGAAATCTGAGTTTCTAAGATCAGAACATTGGTTATCAACTTTTATGTAGGAAAAGATGTAGAACTCAACTGCTCTGCTTTGGCGAATGAAAAGGATACGGTTTATTGGAACGTGTGGGAAGAAAATGGAAAGGAACCTAATGTACATGAAGAGAACATAACAAGAACTAGGTATGTATATGCGATACATTATTTGTCACAATATATACAAATCACCTTTTGTTGTAGATACATGATATAAAAAAACACCAGAGTCCTGGACATCTGGGCTCTTTCCATAGTTTGGCTGTTATGGCCATTGCTGCTATAAACATTGGGGTGCATGTGCCCCTTCGAATCAGTATGTTTGTATCCTTTGGATAAATACCTAGTAGTGCAATTGCAAAAGCAAACAAACAAACAAACAAACCCCAGCGTCCTGAATCAATGATTGGATGTTTAAGTTTCAATTTTAATTATAATTTACATATTTTATATTTATAATTACCACACTCTAGGTTGACGGATTATGCAGAAATCTATTGCCAAGATCTAAGCTAGAAAAAGAAGGTCAGTGAGGCTTTTTTGCATCATCTTACAAAAGTAGCTTTTGGTCAGTCAGGATCTGATGGGGATGGGGATTTTACTTAAGCATCTTATAAGATTAGTAATCATATAAGACTTTCCAAAGCTTGTCAGATGTAAGTTTTGTCTCAAGGAAACACTAATGTACCCATCACGTACCCTGTGACATTCACTGTTGGCAGATTGACATTGAACATAGTTATTATTGCAGCATTTTGCTGTCAAGAGTCTGTTAATGGAAATTAGAAACACAGTAAGAGCAGGTAAAAGAAATTAAAAAAGAAACCACGAAGAGGGCATTGGTTAGATGTAAGTACCTAGGAGGCAACTTTTGGTGCAAAAAGTTTCAAATCACATGCGTATTAGTACTTACGTAGCCTATGTTCTTCCAGTAAGGAACGGTCACACTTATTAAAAGAAAACATGCGAAGCCTGTGGTCATTTAAGTGTTTCTGAATGACTTCGGGTCATTACTCTACTTAGTAATGTCCTGATACACTCAGGTTTTAGTGAGTAGTGATCCCAAGGTGTCTGTCACCTTGGCTGCACTTTTGAGGCTTTTTTCCTGCCTTTTACACTTCAAAACATTCCTTGTCATCCCACTGGCAGCTCTCGATTCTTGCTGGCACTTGCCTGCGAGCTCCTAATGGTGGAATGTCTGTGGCCTCGCCCGGTAGCGGGCGTGTGAATGCTGGTCCAGCTGAAATAAATGTCTTGCCATTGTGTCTTTTTATCCTCAGCATCAGACCTTCGCTCGAGTTCTGCATGTCCCCCTTCTCGTGATCTATTGCTAATCTTTGGGGGGACAGAGACCAACTTGCCAAACTATTTGAAATGGAGCTTAAGCTAAGCTAGGGGAGTAAGGTGGTCTTCCTTTAGAGTTAGATGCATGAGCTTTTTCCGTCACCTGTTTCGGCTTCTCACTGGCCTTTTGTGCCTTACTTTCGGGGTCTTTCACTGATCTTAGATAGTTGCTATTTCTGGATTGGTGACTTCTGTGCAGAATTACGTTCTAAAATGTATTTGAGACAGTTGGAGGCTACAGTGGGTGCCGTGTCCCGAGTACTAGAGACACCTGCTGCTAGGGGGGTGGCAGGTGAGTGACCCCACCTGGGGAAGGCTTTCACAGGTTGTCACTGGTGGGGAAGCTGATGTCCTGGGCAGTTGCCTTGCATCAACAACAGCACAACGTGGATCTCTTAAGAAGAGAAAGACAACTTGCTGCTGGTGTTTGTCTAAGTCATTTTCTGACACTCCCTGAATGGCTTAATTGGCATTTCTCATGTGCCTGTGGGTGCGTCTGAGAATAGTGTCATTCTTTTTTATTTTTAAAATATTTATTTATTTATTTTAGAGAGAGAGAGCGCATGCAAGCAGGGGGAGGAGCAGAGAGAGAGGGAGAGAATCTCAAGCAGACTCCACACTGAGCGTGGAGCCCGACACAAGGCTCTATCCCAGGACCCTGAGATCATGACCTGAGCCGAAGTCAAGAGTCGGACACTTAACTGACTGAGCCACCCAGGTGCTCCGAATAGTGTCATTCTTAAGTTTATTTTCAACGCTGAACAAATAAAAGTGACCTTTAGGATTGCATGGAGAAACCTGATAGGAATCTGTATTTATGCCAAACCATTTGCAGCCTTGTCACGATTGGTGGAGACCTCCCCGTGGGAGGAAAGCTAAGTAGTTAGGAGAAGAGAAATAGGGGGAAATAATTGAGAGAATATTTTCTTGTGTTTTCAAGTCAGCATCATTACCTGCCAGCATTGTCATTCTGGGCAGTGCACAGCATCATTCCCCAGGTGGTCTCAGGAGGGCTGTTTCTGCCCACCCTGATGCTCCCTGGAGGAGCCGGGATTCGTGGTGGCCCAGTCTCTGAGTCCCCATCAGAAAAGGAAGGTTCCATAGAGCCAACAGATCCACTGCTCTTGAGTATTTGCACGTATGAATTCCTCTCTTGTGGGTAATGTTGCTGGTTATGACCAACGCCTATCACTGAATTATTTCCTCTTTTACAGGACTCCAGATGGCAAATTGTATGCATCAAGAACATTGAGAATTGAGAATATCAATGAAAAAAATCTACAGTTTTCATATAATTGTGCTGTGGCCAGCGAGGGAGGCATAGACACCATAAACTTTGTCTTGTTGAAAAAAGGTATGAGAAAGTTTTATTGTGGAAGTCTGTGGAAGCTTAGAATGTTGCTGCTGAGACACCCCTCAAAGATCACCACTCCCTCATTTTACAGCCCAGGAAGCAAGTTCCCGAAAGGTGAAATTGTCAACCTTGTGTCACAGGCATTCAGGCTAAACTGGGGCTCAGTCCCCAGCTGGAGTCCCCTGTGCATTGATTTTGTGCAGAGAATGAAAGCACAAACTCTATTCTTTTGCTCTCAATCATATTGTAGACCCAGATAGAAACCAGGGCCCCCGGACAGGGAAGCAGATGCAGCCTGGAGACAGAGATGTGTGGCTGGGTGTTGTGGGGGAGGCAGGCAGGGCAGCTCGGCACACCCACAATGATGAGAGGCAAGCTTGCAGCTTAGTGTAGGATGAGACCAATGATACTGGGTGTACTGTTGCCTCCAGCCTACCTTAGCTGGGCACTGGGCACAGGGGTTCCTTGGGTGTGGTCATTCATTCAACAAAGATTAACCGAAGGCCTCCCTTCCTTGAACCAGTCCCTGGACCTGGCAGGTAGACAGTTGATGGCTCACATCAGTGGACTCCTAAAGTTTTGCACTGCCTACCTGATGGAGCATTCCGGAGCCGTCCCCCTCCTTCCTCCACCAATACAGTACAACCCAGGTCCAACTGGCCCAGAAGCTGCTCAGAAGTGGCTTCATATTATGGATGGAGACACTAAGAGTTAAGGGCATCAGTGACTTTCCCTAGGACACAGATTAAGTGATGGAGCCAGGCGGGGAGCCCACATGATCTCAGTTCAGTGCTTGCTCTCTCAAGACTATGCAGTTCATTTATGTTTGCAACATACTAGCTGAGATGTAGGTTTGGGTCCCTCTGCATTTCACCCTGGTATCTTATTGTCCTAGAGACTCACCTTCCCCAAGTAGGGACAGGCTATATCACAATGCTTTCAGGTCAGGTCTCTGAATATCCTTGTACACATTTTTATTCTTTAAAAATTGGAGTAGAAAGATCAGTACTCTGGACTAAAGGCAGGAATGTGGACTAAGTCGATGGGATGTGTTGCGTTGACAACTGGATTAGTGGTCAGTGTAAAAACTGACAACTGTGGTGTGATGGTGGAAGACACTGGGAAACTGTCATTTCACTTATTATTCCTGTTTTCTTTTTCTTTCTAGAAGAGATGGTTGATATCCCAGGCTACGTCTTCACCAGAGGAATGATCATAGCTGTTTTGATCTCAGTGGTAGCTGTGTTCCTAGTGATTATGGGCGTCATTTATAGAGTTGACTTGGCCCTATTTTATAGACATTTCATGGGAAAAGATGAAACATTAACAGGTAACGAATATCGTAATACTGGGATTTCTTATCTTATGGCTTCATTAAGAAACCACATAAAGAAACACTAATCTTCATTTCATATCATTTTGATTATATTGTTGTCTTAATGTGTGGTAGAGGTTTTCCGTAGGAAAAATTGATTTGAACATTGTCTAGTATCATCTTTTCCTTTTTGTACTCGTATGTTGCCAAAAACTGTTTGCCAAACAATTGTTGTTTTATACATGTATGTCATGTCTTCCTAAATGTCCTGTGAGATGCTTGTGCCCAGGGGCTATCATTATTCACACACTATCTGGGCACCTTATATAATGTGCATATTCAACAAACTTCATTTAAATAGAATTGAATTGTATTATGATTCATTATTTTAACCTGACAAAGGAGGCAACCTGATGTATCTGCAAGAACCTTGAACTAGAAGCCAAGTGACCTGGGTTCTAGCTTCCTAGATCCGTGTTTTTCTCTATCTGGTGACTCTTTGTTTCCGTTTCTCTATTTTTAAAGGTAATTTGAAGAAGTATTCAAGTTTCAAGACAATTACTGAATTGTGTCAACTATAGTTTAATAAAAAAAGATAATTCCTGAATTTAAAAAATCAGTCTAATCCATTGCATTTGCTTTGTGTGTGTGTGTGTAAGACACACAGTTCAAAATGCAAAAAGTCTAAGAGTAGAAAATCGCCCTGTCAGCCTGTCCCAAGTCTGTGTTTCCCGCTTCGTCTGCCATTGATAGTATATCCAAACAAATATGAATGTAGGATCAAATCCCACACCTGTGTTAAAGACAAATCTGGGCAAATTATGTACACTGTTCTGAACTATGCTTTGCTATGCTTTGGATGCACTTTGGTATCAGTTTATAAAGCCTCCTATTTGTTAGAGTTGTACAGTGTTTTATGTCTGCAGATGTATCCCTGTTTGTTTGGTCACATTTTGGGTTATTCACAACCTCTTGTTATTACAGAAATTATGTGACAGAGAGTTTTGTAGAGTCATCGTTTCATTTGTGTGCAGGAAAAATTCCCCAAAGTGGAATTGCTAGCAATATTAAAGGGTAGATACAGTTGTTAATTGGATAGACATTGCCAATTTGCCCTCCCTACTACCATACTCCTACCACCTTCAAAGAATGGGGGTAACTTTTTTCCCATGGCCTTCCGCACAACCTTTTGGCTATGTGCCAATCTGACAGGTAAAAAGTTATATCTCAGTGTAGTCTTCATTTGCATTTCACTTACTATGCAAGAGCGTAATTTTTCATTTGTTTAAGGCTCATTTGTATTTACTTTCTCAAAGTACTCATTCATATCCTTTGCCATTTTTCTATTGGGTTGTTGGCCTTTTTTTCTTGTTTATTTCTAGGAGCTATTTACATTTTAAGGAGGTTAGCCTATTGTCTATAATATGAAATGGAAACATTGTTCCCAGATTGTAATTTGTCTTTTGACTTTGCTTATAGTAGTGTGATATGTGGAAGATATTTTTTATTATTCTTAAAGTATACTTGACACAGTGTTATATTAGTTTCAGGTGTACATTTTTATCATTATGGAAGATTTTTTTTAATGTACTCAAGTTTATCCTTTTATGGTTTCTAGATTTGTGGTCACAAGTAGAAAGACCCTCCTGACCTCAAGTTATGAAAGAAGTCTCATGTTGTCCCTGTGAGATTTTTCTAGATTCATGGTTCACATTTACAGCTTTTAGTTAATAATATCAAATTAACAAAGGTAATTAATTCAGCTTTGAGCCTGTGTGTGTGTATGCAATTTTGGTGATGGAGAGAAATGCTACAACTGAGAGATCTATTTTTGGTACCTTTTGAACAGGTCTCTACTTGCATGGACCAGAACCTATCTCAAAATGGGCATTCACTAATATCTTTTTGATCTTCAACGAAGATTTTTTTTCCCCTTTCTGTTCTGTTTGACCCAAGTCACAGATAATTTTTTCAGTTCACACTTCCCACTTCCCAGTGTGGCAGTGCATAGAAACATGTACAGACGGGCTCTACATCAGCTCTTTTTAAAGTATGACCCATGACAGTGATCGGTCGTGAAAAAGACAGAAATAGAGACATAAGTACAAAAACTAAAACTTTCATAGCAATTTGATATTGCTGCAATATCCAAGAATGTTTTCACATTTTTTGAAGGATTGGAAATGAAAGAAAGCAATCAACCCAAACCAGTCAAATTAAATGAAAACATGATCATTTGCCTAACACAGTTTGAGAAGCGTGGGCCTGACTTCTTAAAGTCCCAAATATACATTCACATGAGGGTTTCGTTTATACAGAGCCCCAAATAATTATTACTAGCTTCCAAATACCCTATCTTAAACACTTCCCTTTGTCAGTTATCAAAGCCAGCAAGCCATTCAATTACCTGGGTTTAAAAGAAATTGTAATATAAATTACACGATTTGCTAAACCAAGAAGAGAATTGCTTGAAATTAGGTATTTGAAAGCCATCGATAGTTGAAAAAACTTTTTTTCATTTTTCTTGGGTAAGTGTAAAGCTGTATTACTTGTATATCACCATATAAACTTGACTGAATTGTTTTCCTGGTTTATTGCAATAGTAACATCATGATTACAAAAAAAAGGTACCTTTTAAAAAAGTGTATTTATTTATTTCTTACATCTTGGTGCCTGTTCTAATCACCGACATAATGATTACAAGTGCAAGCTGTAGCTCTTACACTATTAAATAGCTCTATTTCACAGCAATCTAACAGAATTACTCGGGGCACCCATTTACCGAGTAAACTAGGCACTGGTTCTGTTTTTACCAACTTTTCCTGCCTTCGATATACATGTTAATTCTGCAGGTTTTACCAAAATGTCCTTGCTTTTATATGCATGCAATTCTGCAAAGCAGTTGCTTTCCATCAACAATAGGTTCGGACTTGAACTGCTGAACCTGAATGCTCTAAGTAGAATTGAAGAAGCTTTGCCAGGAACAAAAAGAGTTGTTTTGTGAGCCTGGATGCCACTGAAGATACTAGGCTGAATTGTTGAGCATAGGTGATGTGCATCACAAAGAACATGGACCTAGAATGGTTTTGTCCTATTAGATTTTAATAAAGGATCCAATTAAATTTAGTTTTCAACTCAGTAGCAAATTCATAAGCCCAATACTATATGCAAGCATAAATCCATCCCCTGTACTATCCAACCAATTGTCATGGGACAGGGATAGACCATTCCCCGCCCACTTCCCCTTCTTCCTCTACCAGTCCCAGTTAGCATCAATTGTATTATTTAGGACCTGACTCAAAATTTCCTTTTCTCAGAAAGCATGTCCCCTAGAGATCACTCTTTAGGCTCTGACCAAGCTGATTCTGTTTGTTTTATTTGTTTTGTTACACTGTCTCGCTTCTGCTAATGTGTTATTTGTAAACGTTTTCAAGTTGTTGCATTTGCCTGCTTTCTCTTCTCAGATAGGTTGGATGAAGATAGAAGAGGGTGGTGTATATAATTTTGTAGTTACCCAGTTAGTACAGTGGTCTTTGTTCTTTAGGTAACTCTTTCGTCTTGACTTTGTCCCGTTAGCCTCCTGAACACTGCTTCATTATCAGGAATTAAATAGGAGCAGATGTTATTACCGATGAAAACCTTTCAACAGACAGGAAATTTTCATATTGGCATCTAGGAACATATAATATTTTTATTTTTATTTTTTAAATTTATTTATTTGACAGAGAGATAGCACAAGTAGGCAGAGCGGCAGGCAGAGGGAAAGGGAGAAGCAGGCTCCCCG